AAGAAAAGGAAAAAAAATGGAAAAAAGATAAAAAATGCATCGTGGAGTAGGATGTAACCCAGCTAACGTATTCGATATTGCGATTTATATGGCCTTAAAACGTGGATGCGTGGAGGAAAAGGCGAAGAAAAATCTCGTTGCATGTGTCGCCATCTCCGAATTGTTCATAAAAAAGAAACCATCCTGGAGATATTTTATTGCTCCAGGTATGCACGAAAGCGCCAGTAACTGAGGCGTTTTCTTCACTCTTTTTTTTTCTTTTTCTTTTTATTAGCAAGTCAAAATGTGAAAATGTGGAGTCGCAAGATAACGTACGCTTATGCAAACAACGAAAAACTGGCCGGAATTTGCAAGCAAAAAGCTTATACGGAAGTGAAAAAATAAGAAACTGTGAAAAATAAATACTTCGAAAAAAATTAAACTTTATCGTTTTTCATGACGATACGAAAAGAGAAACGAAAATGACATATGTTTCAATATAAATTACTGCGTATAAATTGTATCGTGAAATCGATTTTTTTATTGTTATCGCGAAAGTAGTGGAATTCTTTTTTACTTATTTTGTCGAGACTTTTTATTAGTTGCACATAGTTTTATGATGATTCGATCTATCTTGTAGGAAATTAAAATCTCAATAGGAAAAGCTAAGAGATTAAATTCTCAAGTAAATACAGCGAAGAAATTTATTTTTCAAAATAAGCGACGTATTCAAACGAAAAAAGGCGATTCGAAATAAAAATCCTGAAAGCAATCGCATTAAAGAAAGTAACTTTTCCTGTAAATCTTGTAATTCTCCGGTATAATTACACACCTTTACCTTTGCCAACTACGCACAACGCTCTAATAATCTGATCTTCTTGAACTCGTTAACGAAGAGAAGCTTAATCACGTTTTAGATTCACGAATTTACCGCGTTTTCTTTCGTGCGGTCCGGCACGGAGAAGCTAAAGTAACGAAAACCCCCTTTACAAGGGTGTTGTAGCTGTAATGAAAGGAGAACGTGCGGAAAATGTACGTGAATCGTTTGGTTTTGGTTGTTCAAGCAAACGTGGGGAACTTCCTTTTAAATGAAACAGAACGCAACGTTGAAACTTCCGTGACAGTATTAAATTCGCTTCACGGAAGTTGGTCTACATTTAATAAAAGGAGTGTTAATTCTGGCCGCACACAGGCGAATACACAGGGAAATTAAATTTATATTTTCCACGGTTTTGATTTACACGGACGATGATTTCCGCTCGGGTAATTTTATGACAGTGTGGATACCCGTTAACAAAAGTACGTTTGATGAATACACGGATTTTCCAAGGCGAAGAGCATGGACGAGATCCGTGGAAATATAATTCTTTGTCTCCTTTCGAAATCGTTCTTCGCATTTTTCAAGCATGAAAAAATTCCACCCTTCTAATAAACTCACAATGTGATTAAACGCAACATTTTTGGTTAACGACTTTTGGTAAAAGTTGGACCTATCTCGCCACCTGATGCCATAACAGGATCACTGCTGTTCTTCCCGTAAAACACTCAAAATATAACGTTACGGGGTTATAAATCATATCTCGACGTCGGGAAAATTTCAATTCTGTTTATCATACCATTAGCACTAATTAGAACAGTGCACATCGAAGCTTTAAAGTTATCCATACGTTGTCGTATATTGAAAGAATGTTTGTCCATCAAATATTATTCACGAGTTGTTCACTACAAGAGTCTACTTGTATGACTGTAACGTTTATTATATTTATCGATATATTTTGAAATAAAAAAAAAAAAGGAAAAAATTGAATTTTGAGAGGTATTTCGCGCTCTGATAAATTTTCGAAAATCACAAAGCCATGAATTAATTAATTAATCCCAGTGGAAAGTCGAAAAAACATTTCAACAGCTGTCGTTTCATGCTCCCTGTTAAATTTTACAAATAAAAATTGGATTTCAAGAATTCGAAAGCTTGAAAAATTTTCTAAAATTCGAAAAATTCGTTCCCGAAGAAACTCGTATCGATTATCGACCAAAATGTAACAAAACGAAACTTTCAAAAAAAAATACTTCGTGCCACGTCTTCCACAAGAAAATAAAAACCAAAAAATACGTTCAACGACCAAATAAATTAAAAATTTGATTCCATATCTGCGTCCAAACAATGCCCGCGTTCAAAACAATCGAAAGCAATCCGAATCGTATCGAGTCCACCACCTCTCGAACGGACCCCTCCCGCGAAAAGAAAATTTATGCTGCCTGGCCGGCATCGATCGTGTGTAACGTCACGTAATGGACGTTTTCGAAAAAGCGAAATAGCAGTCGGCCGTCGAGGGCGTCGATTTAAATATGCAGATATACAAGCGATCGCGAAAAACGGCCACTTCTCGGCCGGCTTTCACACCGCGGCGACTTCATTATTTTGCCTGTCAACCGGCGGCCTGATAAATCCCCGAAACGTGACAGTGGTGGGCGGCAGATATTGCGCGGTCCTCCCGTATCCCCCCCCCCTTCCCTCCCCTATCCTGCAGTTAGCCCTATCATTGAAAAATAAAAATTTCGTTGGCCGCTCGTTAAAGCTTATCATCAACGCGGGGGATGATAATTCGTGGGGGATAAATATCGAGGGGAAATTTTCACGTGATAATAAGGGGGCATTTTTATGATAATCCCGGGGATGGAACACACCCCTCGATAATTACCGAGTAATGGGTTCTCTGGGAAGTTTTTGCGGGGCCAACTTCTTTGGCGAGCTGCCCCTCGAGTTGGAAAACTGGAGACGACCACCGTTTCGTGCGTTTCGTATCTATCTGGGATATTCGAAAGTTCCTTTTTCCTTTTTTTTTTTTTCTCTCTCTCGTGGAGTAACGCCGTATTGTTGAAGTTGTACGATCTTCTCTAATTCGAAATTTTATAAAAGTTTTTCTATATAATAATTTAAGAAGATTAGGTTTTATATATATATATATTGAAATTGTGTGTTAAGAAAGAAAAGTTTAAATGAAAATTGCATCTCGTTACGAGAAAACGATTATAACGGAGATAGATGTATCTTATATATGTGTAAGAATAATATTTGTTAGAGCACTAGAGGGGAAAGTACACGATGTACGAATTTCCGAGTAAGCAAATTTGTATAATAGATCCATTTGTGATGTATGCGAGCGAGTTCATTACTTAAAGATCACGTTTCACTCGTAGTATGTCAATACTACGTATCATGGTGTAGTCGATAATAAAAGTAATTGCTTGACATTTATAGAAATATCGGTTTTAGAAACGATTTCTTTTTCTTTTTTTTTTTTTAATTCTTTTATCGTCAAGTTTCAATTCTCATGGATCACCCTCTTTCTCATTTTTCTCCCTCGACGATGTTTTTACCAAGCATGGTTATGACGCTTGCACCCCCTCCCAAAGTATCGATGCGTATCCTGGGATCCGTTTCCCCGCTTTACAACCCTCCTCCTCTTAAAACAACATCTTCTAAAACCACACAAGAGTATAATGCATACATTTTCATGGATTATACTCCACCCTCGAAAGTTTCGGAACACCGTCTATTTCTCGGATAACTTTAATCTTTGATATTATAAATCATGAATTTAAATTGCATGTGTTCTTTAATAACGTTGTTAAACGTTGAAAAGAAACCGTAAATCTTATAAATTATCATATATATTTATCATTCACGATATATATATATGTGGAAAATCTACTTTTAGGAAATAATTGATCGACTTACACTACTTGCCAATTACTTCTAAAATTAAATACTTATCGCATACTTAAAGTATCCGCTCGATTTAATATACGTATACTTAAGAACAATTTTTAATTCAATCCAATTTGCGTCCACAAATCCTCGTACTAATCCTTTCATCGAAGATACACCCTTTAACATACTCTCGACAAATCAAAATTATTTCCACTCGTAGTACTCCCTCGTATACAATTTCACCAAATTTCGTCAAAGCCCCTCATATCGCATCAGCTTCTCACAATTTTCAAACTAATTTTCAATTATTTAATTACACGGAAACTTCTCACCTCTCCCCTCCACCCACCCTTCTCTCTAAACCAAACGTGCAAATCGAAATTTTCAAACGGAGAAGTTCGCAGAACATGAAGTGGCGGCGTCGTCGTCGTCGTCACGTGTATAATTCACATGCACGCGTTGCTGGACAACTCGGGAGGGAGAGAGAGGGAGGAGGAGGGGTGTATGTCCCGCGAGTAAACGCGCGAGTTTGCCTCGATTATTAACGCCGGTAATTCCGTTTTATCGACGATTGCCACTCTCGAGGCGAGGGGGAGGGCCCCGCCACGAGAGGCCCCATGAGTAATCTGCGAATGCCGCGGTTATACACGCGGTGAAATATTAAACTGGGCCATACCCTCGTTTTTGCCGTCCAAGAAGAGAGCGGAAGAGAAGACGTCTCTGAATCTCGTTTCGCCGTTGTCTTTATCCGTTTAATCGTGGGATCTCGGATGAAATAATTCAGGGAAAAGCAAGATCTCGAGAGAGAGAGAGAGAGAGAGAGATCTTGTTAATATTCCTAAGCTTGCTCGTGACATCGTTAACTATTGTTTTCGGGTGGAATGTGGAAGATTCGAAGTTTGCTTCTTGGAAGGAATGGTATTAATTTATTATTTTTTTTTTCTTGCAGGAAAGAGGATAAATTTTGTGAAAGTAATATCGTTTCGTCGATGCTATTGAAATTAGGATGGAAGAAGAATGCAAAAATTGAAAAATAAATGTAGGAGGTGTGGGGAGGAACAATGGCATTGAATTGTAAAGTTTTGCAATCGAATAAGGGAGATAATCAGATTAGCAAGTAAATTGCAATTGGGAATGAAGAATTGTAATTAAGAATAACATAATATTGCTCAAAGGACTTGAGGATACGGAGGATCTTTAGATGTTCAAAGAGGTGTGATGTTTCTAATTTAATTGGAAACCAATTATACAGATGTAAATAATCGTGGAACTTCGTTATAACAGAGAAAACGATATTCAATTAATTTAATCCTATTCGTTGTACATTTTGCCAATTTTATACACATAAAATTCTTTACGACGATAAAGACTGATCGCGTACAAAACAAAAGCAATAACAGATCAAACGATATTTCTTTTTACTATAAAATTTGTCAATTGCCAAAATCTTTGGAGAAGCACTAGTTACGAAAATTAAAAGGCAGACAAATTTGTCGAATTGAAGAAACGTATGCAAGTGGATATTATTTGTTTAACGATGTTCATTCGTTATAATTAATCAATAAAAATTAAAAGAGCGAAGGAAGGAAAAGAAAGAAGGACAAATGCGTTAAAATTGCAAAATTAACACGTGAAAAATACGAACCATATATTTGACCATCCTTTTCTATACCAGTATGGGAACTGTTTTTCATAACACGACGATATAAATTCGTAGACCGAGGAGGAGGTATAATGAAATTCCGGCCAGGCCACGGGACGAGAAATTTTCGCAACTGCGTTTTCCTCGAAATTTAATTAAAATTTTTGTCTGCTCGGTTTCCTGGTGCGTTTTTCATTCCGCGGCAAGATTTCCTCCACTTTGTAAGGGGAATTATCAAGGTTAATGGGAGGATCCAAGGACGAGAGCGTCGCGAATCCTCGAGCATTTGGAATTACGATTCCAACAAGCATTGATCTATCCTTTGTTCTTTTTCGAGCAACGAAAAGAAAGGAAAAAATTAAGGTAAATAACGATGCAAGAATTCTTGAAATTCTGAAAATATTTTTCTTTTCGCGCGTTTACCGGATGAAAAATATTTTTTATCGAATGCATTTCTATTTTATATTTTAATTTGTTGTTCTTTTTGTATAGTATTTCGCTTTAATTCGATGAAAATTCACCTCAACAAAGATACTTTGTTATGAATTAAATACTATAAAACTTTTCATGCATGATATTTACCATATGAAAAGAGAGCCAGAGTGTACGAGATATGCCTGATATAAATTCGTTGTCGAGGCTCGAGCTGCTATAATGCTTTTGGATAAAATGAATCGAAGAATGTTTCGAAAACGCTCGAAAAGATTTTGAGTCTCGGTAAACACAAGAAGAATATCTAATTAAAGTATCATCCTTCTCATTAAAAAGTAAGATCCTTCTTATTACAAAGAAAAACTGATCGAAAATCTTTAACAACGGTGACAATAATCGAACCGACAAGTTTCGCGCGTAAATCGCATTTCTCTCGACAAAGATGCTTGTTGCGACTCAAGAAGTTGAGACGCGTTCCTCTGCAATGCCTACGTGGACGCATTAAAACGTTCTCTCTTAACGCGAAATAATTAAGCAAGGCAGACTAGAAACTTGTCTCTTCCCGCATCTCTCGAGAATATGACTGTACGAAGGAAAGAAAGAAGATGTAAGAAAAAAATAAATCTGTGACAATATCGCTATAGTATTACATAAATTAACTATAAGGGGATAAAAGCGAGGAAACGTAAGAAAACATTCACGGGAATGGAACAAATTGCATTATTTAATATCTGAAGAAACGATCTGAAGAAACATACCGAATACATTTCGTTCGCTTCATCGAGAGATAATATTGTTCGATGCTCGTTCTTTGACAAAATTAAAGGAAACAAACTTATGGCTGCTAAATTCTTTTCGAATCTAAATTTCATCGTTTCTTCTCATAAACCGTCATAATTATTCCCGCATTATTTTCGCTTGGACTAACTTCATCGAGATCGAAAAGGGACAATATTGTTCGATGCTCGTTCTTTGACAAAATTAAACGAGACAAACTAAATGACTGCTAAATTCTTTCCCAATCTAAATTTCATCGTTTCTTCTCGCCTTCATCACTCGAAATCATAAACCATCATAATTGTTCTATCTCTAAAATTGTGAACCAAACCTCTAAAGATGAGGTGACGCAGAAAAGAGAAGAAAAGAAGAAACACGTATGTAACACGTATTCGTTCCTGCACACGGATACAGAAACCAGAGAAATCACGAAATTATCCCTTTCGAGGAAGAGGAAAAACAGAGGCGATGACGAATCGTTGGATTTAGAGATCGAAGGACGAGATAAGGAATGGAGCCATCGTGGGGGCGAAGGAGGGGGAGCGATTGCCCGCCGGTAACAATTGATTAAACATGCTTTCCAGCTCGAATTGGTCCACCCCCTTCCCCCTTGAATTTCCTATTCGACACCGAATTGAAAATAGCCCTCGCGGTGACGTCCACCTCTGGCACGCCGGTACAATCGTGTCTCAACGGATCTGGTTAGCTGGAATCGGATGGTCCGGATAGTCTGATCGGTGCTGGAATTCGGGCCACCGTGGGGAGGAGGAGGTGAGCCAAAACGTACAGTAGTAGTCGAAATTCAATACCCTTAATGGAAGGGAAGGGCGCCCAAGTATTCGTGAAAAGTATTTCGGCATTTGATTGAATTAATTAAACCGATGAAGATGTAACCATCTGTTCCTACTTCTGCAAATGGATATACGTGGTGTGTGACGCGTTGGTCACGATCCGGGAACCATTTCCGTATCCAGATTCGATACTTTCAATCTTATCTATTTTATTATCCTTCATTTTACTCATCTATCGAGATCTCTCAACGATGAAATTATTTATAATAAGGATTTCCGCCTGAGAATATCAAGAAGAGGAAGAATTCGAGTTTCAAGGAACTCGAGGTATTCAGTATACCAAGTATACTGAAACTACGAATTCGAATTAAGGAATACATATGTTTCAGAGCGAAAGAATCGAACATAACGGTTAAATCGGCGTAAAATCGAGAGCCGATCACGAGAATCGAGTAGTCTCGATCTGATCGCAGCTTGTCGATGGAAAATCGTATCTGTCTACGATTTCTATTTCCTCGAGCGTTTTGAGTGGCAAGGTTTATCCCGACGAGAAAGGGGGTGAAAGCTTGTACACGCGTGAAACACCGTTGGATCGCGGAAGAGACAGGTGAGTGGCGTGGCAGAGTAAAGGCGAGATTTGAGGAAAGTGATTAGCCGACATCCTGTCAAATGCATGCACCTCCTCCTCTCCATGAGGGGGGTGGTGGGGGGAGGAGGAGGAGGGAGAGGGCTGTCGCCTTTGTAGCAATCGACGCCGATAGCGCGGGAAAATTAATTGAAAACCGATGTACTCGTGGATAGTTCGATTAATTTTCAACAGGTAAGTAGAAACCTGTGTTCCTCCAGGTGATTCGTGTTCGTTGCACGACCGGTTAACGGCCACTTAAAGAGGACGACTGAGTTTCAGAACGATTGAGCTTAATCGACGAATTTATCCGAATTATATATTTTTTGGCAGTTGATTCAAATTGCCAAGTGGTGCAATTTTTGAAAAATTTTCGATTGAAAGAATAATTTTTTCTTTCTTTTGCAAACATCAAAATCCGAATCCAAAAGATAATATATATATATATATATAGATAGATATCGAAAGATATAGGAAAAGTTTAATGTTTCAGCTTATTAAATTTACAAAGTTGAATTTTGTAAGGAAAACTATTAAAACTTTTCGACGGGTTCTTGTACGAAGAACTCTTTTATAAGGGAATGTAAGTGAAAGGAATTTCATTTTGTACAAATTGTTGCGTACTACACGCGTATTTCTGGCAAAAATCATTAATCATTGTTACCAAGTTGCAGACGCTTGGGAATTTCAAAAATTCGCTCGAAATTCATTAGGATAACCTAGGATTGAAGAATTTCACGATAAATAATTCAATGTACGATTATGTAATTGTTCGTTTCATAACACATAGGGAAGTTATTTATGAAATTATTATGTATATATATATATATATATATATATATATATATTAC